TCCAAAATGTCTTGGTTTGCTGATGCCTTAAGAGTTCCCTTCACTGAAACTAAGGGGTCAAGCTCAACCCTTGAAAAACAACCCCACATCATAATCCCCCCTCCACCAAACATTACACTTGGCACAATGCAGTCAGGCAAATGCCGTTCTCCTGGCAACTGCCAAACCCAGACATGTCCATCAGACTGGCAGACAGAGAAGCGTGATTTGTCACTCCAGAGAACACGTCTCCACTGTTCTAGAGTCCAGTGACGGCGTGCTTTACACCACTGCATCCGATGCTTTGTATTGCACTTGGTGAAGTAAGGGCGGCTTAAGTTGGGCGCAGCTGCTCAGCCATGGAAACCCATTCTATGAAGCGCTTTACGCACTGTTGTTGTGGGTAATCTGAAGGCCATACAAAGTTTGTCTGACTCTTAAGACAGTTGATGACTTCTGCGCACTGTGCGCTTTAGCATGTGTTGACCCCGCTTTGTCATTTTACATGGCGCACCACTTTTTGGCTGAGTTGCTGTTCCCTGTTGCTTCCACTTTTATTATAACACCAACCTATCACGGTACCACTCTTGAATTCACTGATCTCTTGAGAGCCACCCATTCTTTCACAAATGTTTGTAGAAGCAGTCTGCATGCCTAGGTGCTTGATTCTATACACCTGTGGCCATGGAGGTGATTGGAACACCTGAATCCAATGATTTGGAGGGGTTTCCCAATACTTTTGACAATATAGTGTATGTTGTGACAGAGCAAAGCCCCGCCACTGTGAAAATGGATATAGGAATGACAGAAGATTCATACTAATGTAGAGTACGGGGCTTCGGAGTGTATATTGTGAGTGCAGAAAACTGTTTGCAGGTTTCTCTGGGTTTTGTAATCCTAGATCAGGGCCTGGAACTTCAATCCTATGTTCAGGTCTTGCTGGAGACTTGCAGGCAGTGTGAGTGAACACGTGTGCACATTCTCTATAAGCCAGGAGCTGGCCATAGCTTGTTTGGAAAGAAGTGTGTACTCCAGCTAGAAGAGGCGATCCACTTGGTAGATGAGACTCAATGTTGGACAGTTTTTCTTCCTGCAGGAGGGTTGGGACAGCTGAGCGAGCCTGCAGGACTGAGAGAGCTGAGGCAAATCATAAGTCCAGGGGACTGGGGGTATTCTTAAGTCTGGAAGAGTAACAGAGCCCGGGGTGTCAGGAGAACCTTTATCTAGAGGCCAGGAGTGGGCTGTGCAGCAGGTTGCTGCAATCTATAAGGCTATGTGAGCCAAGAGTCCTGAGGGACCAGTGCTAATAACAGTAGTGCTGCTGATGACTGAGCCAAGTGACTCGGCATTTTTTGGTTATCTGTTTGCTGGAGAAAATCCCCTGGTCAACTTTGCTTTTTCCTTTGTTTGATTTTCTTTTTAATAAATGCAGAATAGCTGCTTTATAAATACTGTATATCCCAGTGTTAATTGAGCTAAAAGGGTAACTCTGCTTTTGTGGAGTGACCGTTTTAGCAAAAAAAAAAAATAAATAATAATAATATAGCGCAAGGGTTAAAATTTCGAGTCCAGACCTACTAGCCGGTCACAAAACTTGCTCTCCACCAGTTGCCCCACCCAACCTTGCCCAGGTCTGCCCAAAACCCCACCCCCAACCACGCCCCCTTAAAGCTTATGAAATTACATTTTTCTTTAGAATAAAGAGTCCAAAATATAAAACTGTACACAGTAATGTATTTCCCAGCTCCCCTGTACTCCATTGTAGTGATATGACATGTATACAGTATGTATTTCCCAGCTCCCCTGTACTCCATTGTAGTGATATGACATGTATACAGTAATGTATATCCCAGCTCCCCTGTACTCCATTATAGTGATATGACATGTATACAGTAATGTATATCCCAGCTCCCCTGTACTTCATTATAGTGATATGACATGTATACAGTAATGTATATCCCAGCTCCCCTGTACTCCATTATAGTGATATGACATGTATATACAGTAATCTATACCCCAGCTCCCCTGTACTCCATTATAGTGATATGACATGTATACAGTAATGTATTTCCCAGCTCCCCTGTACTCCATTATAGTGATATGACATGTATACAGTAATGTATATCCCAGCTCCCCTGTACTCCATTATAGTGATATGACATGTATACGGTAATGTATATCCCAGCTCCCCTGTACTCCATTATAGTGATATGACATGTATACAGTAATGTATATCCCAGCTCCCCTGTACTCCATTATAGTGATATGACATGTATACAGTAATGTATATCCCAGCTCCCCTGTACTCCATTATAGTGATATGACATGTATACAGTAATGTATATCCCAGCTCCCCTGTACTCTAATATAGTGATATGACATGTATACGGTAATGTATATCCCAGCTCCCCTGTACTCCATTATAGTGATATGACATGTATACAGTACTTACTCCTAGTTCCTCCGAGTCCCTCGCGGCGGTGGAGAGGGTGTCTCCTCTCAGCGGAGCCGAAGAAGCCGGAAACCGGAAGTTGTAAACCAGAACTCGGCTTCACAATGAGGCTTGGAGCGCAGGTGCAGTCACTCCATGCTTCACCTGTGCTCGGTGCTCGCCACAGAGGAATTTCTCCTTGCATTTGGCGAGCGGCTTTTTCAAGCCTTGATATAGCGTATACCATTGCAGCTCAAGTCATATTGTAATTGAATGTTCTTAAAAATTACCTTTCCGTTTCATACAATGCTCTAATTTTCTGTAAAATTCAATGCAACATGGCTACCTGGAGGAGTTCTGCACACAGATGGTGTACAGAACGCCCCCTAAAAATGTAATTTCCTGCTTGTTTGATTGGCTTACTGATTTTCCAAGAAGTTTGCACTAAGGTACAAGCCACATTTTTGGCATCCCGTACAACAAAAATTTCATTTTTGATGAGATACTCCTAAAGGGATGCAGACCCTGCCAATGTCCTCATTAGAGTCCTGCAGGTACAGCAGCTGACTGATATTTATGAAATCACTCCCATACAGATTCACTCTACCATGGCCACAGACAAACAAATGATTTTTTCTGAATAACATAAGGTTGGAATTAGAGATGAGCGAATCGAACATGACGAAGTGGAATTCGTTCCGAATTTTGAAAAATTCTATTCCCGACGAATCCGAAGATTAGCAAACTTCGGATGCACGAATCGAATTTTCCCAAAAATGGCGGCGACATGTGTGGCGACGGAGAAAATGGACAGAGAAGATGGGGCGGGGATCTCTGGGAAGGCGCGCAGACAAGGCGCGCTGACCCATAATGCATTCATGACATGTGATCGCATTAGCCAATCAGCAGCCAGCCAGCACTGTGTAATGGTGGAGCTATAAATCACGGCCATCTTAGAATTCTCCATTATCCTCCGGTCATTCAAGAGAGACAGACCTGTGTGTATTAAGGGACAGAGTTAGGGCCACAGAATCGTTACTCAGGGCCACAGAATCGTTACTCAGGGCCACAGAATCGTTACTCAGGGACACAGAGCGCCATGTGTCTCTGTCGTCTGCTCACGCTGCTGACAGCTTCCGCTTTTTAACCTAGGCCTGTGTATGGCTTCAGAATAATGCTGCCTACACCGCCACCCTGCGCCATGTGCCTCTGTCGTCTGCTCACGCTGCTGCCAGGTCCATACTGATTCATGGCCCCCTGTACCGGCTCCCCATGAACGTGGTTCAGCGGGTTTGCATCACTTAACGGCAAATCGTTGACAAACGCTGGGACGTTCAGTGTTGTGCGCATTAAGCCAGACACCAAAGGGCAGCACAGACCTGTTATTACTCGCTCAAGCATGGCTGAACAAAACCAGTCTCTACCACAAATTGGACCCAGACCTGCCCAGGGTCTCGTAAGTAGATTGCACGGAGGAGTAGAGTTCGTTATTGGAATTAACTGTGAGGGACTTTTAAACCTAGGCCTGTGTATGGCCTTCAATTGAAGCTGCTTCTGCTCCGCCACTCTGCCATTGGACTCTTGATAGTCGTCTCCCCACGCTGCTGCTGGGGGGACTTTTTAACATAGGCCTCTGTATGGCCTTCAATTTTAGCTGCTTACGCTCCGCCACTCTGCCATGGGCCCCTGTACCGCCTCCTCATGCTGCTGCCAGGCCCGTAATCTGCCATGGGCCCCGTACCGACTCCTCATGCTGCTGCCAGCCCCGTAATCTGTCATGGGCCCCTGTACCGCCTCCTCATGCTGCTGCCAGGTCCAGAGTGTGTCATGGGTCCCTGTACGGCCTCCCATTGCTGCTGTCTCCATCGCCCACACTCTGCCATGTGCCACTTTCAGGTCTCCTCACACTGCTGGTGGGTTCCATTTTGTCATAGGGTGCTGTATGGCCTCCCATTGCTGCTGCCTCCACCGCCACACTGTGGCTCCACACTCTGGTTTTGGCCCCGTGACTGCCCAAATGAGTGAAGTGTGCGGTGATTCTAAGATCGACGGCACTCATCTGCATGTCATACTGACTGACAGTATTATTTCTCTTCCCCAGCAGACTCCAAGGGCATTTAAATTAAAGGTACAGTGTTCTGCACTAATATAAAGGCTCTCTGAAGCCTGGAAACACCCTTTTTATAAGTTAAATTCGCAGCGAATATATTCGGCGAATTCGGCGAATCAGCCGAACCGAATTTTTGAATAATTTGCTCATCTCTAGTTGGAATCTGCAACAAAGTTTGTTAAAATCTCTGCAGTGTACATAGATCACCTAGAGGGGAATGTTTTTTTTTTCTCAACAAAAGTGGCGTTATCCTTTAAGTGTTTACTCATAGATATTACTCGTATTTTAGGGCTAGCTGTGTCCACCTTCTGTCTTTGAGAATGATTATTTGATTATAAGGAGATCAGGGTGGCTGATTTGGGTGAGGGTAATTGATATACATTTATTTCTTTCCCATATTCAATGACTTCTGTTGTTTGTGTGTATGTATTAACTAGATTGTTGCTCATTTGTTTATTTATCACACAGTAACAAACCGTAATGAAGTTAACGCGAAAGCAAGTTCTATCCAGGGCAAAAGCTTCCGAGTTAGATAGTGTGAGGAAACTGAACTGCTGGTGAGTATGGGCTGTGTGGCTCTGTTGATAATAAAACATGACTAAATAGAGTACTTGTGACTTTTTTTGAGCAAAACATTTTTCCCATCATGCCATTCTTTCATTGAGGAAGCCATCTTGCTGGAAGTCAGAAATTAATACAGGAAAACCTGCTAGCATTAAGCTCCATACACACGATGAGAATATTGGAGGAACAATCGCCCGTTTTTTTTTTTCACCTGCTAGTCTCACATCGAAAGTGAAAACGTTATTAAAGATACAAAAATTATCCTATGAAAGAAAATTTCGAAAGTGATGTCATGTATTGTATTGTATTTTCGGACGACTACTGTGCTGATTGAACAAAAAAATCGTACAATCTGGTATCATACAAGAAACATTTTTGCGCTTTTCCCTTCAGATATTGTTGCACAAATTGTCGTGATCGGCTCTCAAAAGCTGTGTATTAACGATCCGATTATCGGACGATCGGTCCTCGTACGAAAATTTGCGTACAATATTCTTATAGTGTGTACGGGGCATTAGTGTTTGTGATCTTTTAACGTTCCCTTTTGCTAGTTCTCTGGCAGTGATTTTAGCTAGTATACTGTATGTGGGCAGATTTCATTGGTATAGGAGTATGAGCATAACATTCTGCGGTTTTCAGTGCAGAAACATACCACAGTCCATTTAACATGATTTCGCGATGGCTGTGGTTCACATCTGTGTGGTTTTTGGAAAGGGTCTGGAGCTTTGTTTCCCGCAGCATATTGCATTTAAGTTTCAATAGACTTCAATGGAACCGCATCAAAACTGCATGAAAAACACCTGTGCATGCATTTTTGTTGTGTTTCCTGTATGACAACATACACCTCCCCCTAGCAATATTAACACCAAAAATGTAAAAAGCATAAAAAAAGCATTAAAAACACACCAAATGTGTGGGAAAAAACCAAAATGCACTGGGAAAATGCATCCACCGCAACCTGCATAGGTGTGAACTTAACCTAAAACCTTATTAATTGAAAAAACTGGGCACATACCACAGTCCATGGGTCCTTCATCCTAAACCCGTAATTTCATGAATTATTTATATACTATGCATAACCGGAGTATCGGCTTGCTCACAGGATTACCTTGATATCTAGTGTGACACAGCAGCCTAATATAAATACATAGAGTTGTATGAGCGAATTTTGCCGTTCTCATAAACAGCGCTCAGTATTAAATAACATAAATCAAATAACCAGAAATTAATATATAAATCACTAAATAAATAAACAAATAACTGGATGGAGAATAAAGGAAAAGACGAGACTTCGTGTGTCAGTGTGAATATAAATACAGTTCAGTTCGCCTGATCCATATAATAATTCTTTAAAAGGTCAGGTACACCACCTTTGTGATCCTATAGTGATTAGCACCCCATCAACCAGCAGTGGAAAATCAATCCTCCTTAGTAATAAGTATTGTTGAAGGACCAGCAGTGGAAACCTCCTCAATACCAGGAACCAAGATCACCATCCAACAGGTAAAAACCATTGATCTCTCTCCTTCTGGACTCCTCACTACCAATAATCAATCTCAATATTCCAATTCCATATAGGGATAAAAGCATGAAAAAAGCCACATAGTGCGATTCCTTTTAAAACACATTTATTCAAAACCCCCCCTTAAAATGCACTCATATTGAGTAAATATACAATAGGCAAAACATATGCACACTCCAGGTAATGTATACTGCTTCAGCGGTGAGTGACAGTCTCACCACACGTTTCCCCACACTGAACTTCTGCGATAGCGGTCATGTGGTCACATCACGTGGGCCCGGTGAGCATGCTGACGTCACGGATGGTCACGCCCCACGTCAGGGGAGATCACTGGTTTTTACCTGTTGGATGGTGATCTTGGTTTCTGGTATTGAGGAGGAGGTTTCCACTGCTGGTCCTTCAACAAAACGTATTACTAAGGAGGATTGATTTTCCGCTGCTGGTTACTCACCAGTATCTGATGAGTGTTCATTTTGATGGGGTGTTAATCACTATAAGATCACAAAGGTGGACTTTTTAAAAAGTCATAGGAAGTGACGAAACGCGTTAGTGACACGTGACGTCAGATGCATCGAAGTTGACAGGAAGTGTGATCGCGGCCATCTTGGAAGTGGGAACATATGGCCAGTGTTCCCTAGTCTGTCTGTATGTGCATCTCTATGAGGAGGAGCTGCCTTATTCAAATTGTAATGTAAGTTACTGAATAAAGGATGTTATTTATTGAATCTACCATATGTAATTTCGATTTTCTTATGAGGAGAATGGAAGAAAAGCTGTTTTACTGGATCTAATACTGGATGGAATTCTACAGTTAAGGAGATTTGTATCAAGCCCTGTTTTTGGATATATAGGGTAATTACCCATTTAGCACACGAGTTGGAGATCGTTTTGGTTGGGGATGTGTGTAGGGTTCAAGGGGATCACTGACAAATATAGTGTGGTGTTACACATTTTGCAGTGATAAAATTTGAGTTGTTTACACAGATTCACATAGTGGATATGATGTGTGAGTGTTTCACTGGTTAAGTATTTGGTTGCACAGAGATTTAAAATATATGCGTATATGTAGATATTCGCATAGAGATTAACACACTATATATATATATATATATATTTTTTTATTTTTTTTGAGTTTTTCACAAGTATTGCATGTTGCACTGGAAGGGGCACGTGTGTATTTATTACCAAAAGGTATGACACTATGTTAAGTTTTTTTTTCTTTTTGAGGTATATTGGCATCAGAATTTGCGGGTGTTGAGAAAAAGATTTTTTCGCTGAAAAGAAGAAAAAAAAGAGACTTTTCTGAACATTTGTTTACATTAGTGGGGTTTGTTTTTGATATTTTGGATATTTATGTGATTTTGTTAAAAAGAAAAGTTTTTATACACAATATTATACGGGTCAGGCCAACTGGGCTGTATTTATATTCACACTGACACACCGTGGTGGAAGTCTCATCTTTTCCTTTATTCTCCATCCAGTTATTTGTTTATTTAGTGACTTATATATTAATTTCTGGTTATTTGGTTTATGTTATTTAATACTGAGTGCTGTTTATGAGGATGGCCAAATTCGCTCACTCAACTCTATATACAACATTATTTAAAACAGCTGCTTTATTAAATTTTATTTAGGCTTTATTTAGTATTCACCTTCACTAAAGCGCGGGGATATAAGTTGTTTCAGCTTATTTATTTTTTAATTTAGTATAAATACATGTTTTATTTCCCTTTTTTATATGTTTCATAGGGTTTACTAATTTTTGACTCTATTACCATTAGTAATAAATTCTCTAGATAGATTCCTCTTGTAATAGTCTCTTAAATAAGCATGCTGAAATAGAAGAATCTGGGCAGTTGCTTACTTGAGAACCTGAGCCAGCTGCTCCTGCCCCCTCTACAGTCCAGCACTCCAGTGAGCACTGGAGGGGCAGTGCAGAGAGCAGTGACTGACAGTCACCGCTCTGTGCTCAGAGTGAACCTGAGAACTGGATAATCACTCATTTCTCAGTGAGGGGGATGGGGGACAGCTGCAGCATCAGACTAATGGTGCAGCCAGCTAGGTGAGTATGTATGTTTGTTCTGTTTGATTCCCTTGCTCCTCTTTTAAAGTTCATGTTGATTAAAAAAAAATCCAGTCCCCTACTCTAGTCAAAATCTCACCTTCACACCACCTATGTGATAACTTTTTTTCCCCATGGTTGTGGCCTGTTCTATTGTTTACAGCATTCTTTCCAAAATCTTGTATTGTATTGCTGGCACAGTAACTCACCATAAACTGGATTGGAGCTGTAATTAACTGTACTGTTGGGACATTGTGCTTTTTTTTTTCTCTCTCATGTAACGTGGCATTCAAGAGTTGATTTTTTTTTTCTTTTTTTGTTTTAGGGGAAGCCGTCTTACAGATGTAAGTAATGACTTGTATCCTGAACCTTGTCTAGATATCAGTTAAATGTAGTGCAGATCTTAAGTTTAAGCAATTCACTATTGTTTGGTATTTTTTAGCATCCTTGCATTTTTAAAAATCTGAACTCCAGGCAAATATAAAATGCAGAAATGAATGCATCTCTGGGGGGGGGGGGGGATGGGGGGGTGGTGGATTCTGCTGGTTCATGTCTAGGAGCTGCTGCTTTATATCTAGTGGACATAAAAAAGCAGATTTACTTACCTGACCCTCAACTCCTCTACACTAATAGGCCAGCCCCAGTTTCCTGGTTATGTTGTATATCTGTTTTTTAGTGTGTGTATGTATACTATATTTAAACATAAGTAAAAATTGAATACATATCAAATGATTCCCAGAGTACACTGGATTAGCTAAAGAGTCAGCTGAAAATATGCCCCTGTCAGGCTATCCCAATGTGATTTAAACTTCAAACTGAGCTGTTAAGTAAGGAATGAGGCACTCTTATGACTTACTTACTTGTCTGTGTAAACTTTATTGTGAGCGGTGTATCTCTGAACAACTGTCTTTTCATAACACCATGGCAAGTATAAATGGAAAGCATGTAAAAAGAATCCTAGAGTTCAATCTGCTGGCTAGATAATTGGCTACTTAAAAATGTATGTATTACAGTGGCAAGGAAAAGTATGTGAACCTCTTGGAATTAACTGGTTTTCTGAAGTAATTTGCCATAAAATGTGATCTGATCCTCTCTAAGTCACAACAATAGACAAACACAATGTGCTTAAGCTGATAAAGCAGTTCTAATGTATTTAGTCTTTATTGCACACACCCATTAAACATACACAGTGCTGGAGAAAAAGGTAAGTGAGCCCTTGAGTTAGAAAAATTACATCAGCCAACGCTTATTGGAGTCAGTAGTTTGCACACCTGGAGTCCAACTAATGAAATGATTTTGAAGGTGTGATTTAGAGCTGCTTTGATTGATAAAAGGCACTCAGACATATTAAGATTGCTGTTCATAAGAAGCATTATCTAATGTGAACCATGCCTTGTAAAAAGGAGCTCTCTATAGACATACAATGAAGAGTAGTTGATATGCATAAGGCTGGTAAAGGGATACAAAGCAATCTCAAAGTGTTTAGGCGTCCATCAATCAACAGTTAGATAAATTGTCTATAAATTGAGACAGTCTAGTACTGTGACTACTCTTCCCAGAAATAGGTACTCAGTCAAGATGACTCCAAAGGCTTGAAGACATCACTTGAACTGGCAAAAATCTCTATTTATGAATCTACCATACATACAGTAAGTCTTCGAACAGGCACGGTGTCTATGGCAGAACATCACAGAGGAAGCTGCTTCTCTCCCCCCAAAAAAAAATAGTATGTGAGAAGCTGTCCAATGAGCACCTTGGCAAACCACAACACTACTGGGGAAATGTTTTCTGCGCTGATGAAACAAAAGTTGAATTGTTCGGTAAGAATACTAAGCACTATGTGTGGCACGAAAAAGGCACAGCTTACCAACATCAAAACTTTATCCCATAGGTTAAGTATGGTGGAGGAAACATCATGATTTGGGCTTGCTTTACTGCCGCAGGGCCTGCACCGCTTTCCATCATCAAAGGGAAAATGAATTCCTAAGTTTACCAAAATATCCTACAGGATATGAAGTAAGACAATGGCCCTAAGTATCGAAGTAAATCCACCACAGACTGGCTTCAGAAAAAGAAAATTCACCTGTTAAAGTGGCTTAGTCAGAGCCCAGACCTTAGCCCCATAGAGATGCTATGGAAAGACCTCAAGAGAGTCTTTCACACCAGACATCCTAGAAATGTGTCTGAGCTGAAACAGTTTTGTAAGGAGGAATGGTCAAAAATTCTTCCTGAACATTGTGCATGTCTGATCTAGAGCTACAGAAAGGTAATTTGAGCAGCTATTAACTGCAAGCGTTCCCTTACTTTTTCCTTCAGCACTGTGGTTAGTCCAATAAAGACATGAGAAATATGAATTGTTGATGTGTTAACGTAAGCACAATGGGGAAGATTTAATAAAACTGGTGCACTCAGAATCTGGTGCAGTTGTGCATGGCAGCCAATCAGTTTCTGTTGTCAGCTTGTTCAATTAAGCATAAAAAACCCCCCGAAAGCTGACTGTTTTTTTATGCAGAGCTGCACCAGATTTTGCACTTTTCAGTTTTAGTAAATAACCCCCATTGTGTTTGTCTATTCTTGCTTAGATGAGGATCAGATTGCATTTTATGACAAATTACTGCAGAAAACTAGTTAATTCCTAGGGGCTCACATACTTTCCCTTGCCACTGTATTTCATATTTGACTGACTAGAAATAAAATATATTTTTAGACCATTTGATGTTTGTAGTCATGACCATAATAGGAACATGCAAACTCCATGCAGTTACATGGACATGAAATGTATATTGTATGCATGCTGGACTACATCTTCAGTAATTTTTCCTTCCTAAATACATATGAATGAATAGATCGCAGTGGGCTCTGCCTATTAGTAGCTGAAGGTGGGAATGTCATTCGTGTATAGGGAAAGAGTTTTTATGGGTGAAACATACAGGCCACTATAGTTCAGTGAAAGACAAAAGTAATCAATACAGAGGGAGGAGGTTAAAGGATAAAACAGATAGTGTAGGAAGAAGCATAAATCTATCTGCTTTGTATGATGACAGGTTACCTGATTCTTTTAACAAGACTGAGGAAAGAATTAGAATTAGTAGATAATATAATGCACTGCATTAGGGGTTAGCTATTTGTTAATCCATGTGTACTGACAACTTCAAGTGGAACTAGAGAAAGCACCTAGCTCAGCAACATCAACTTGAGAAACATATAACATGGATAATGCAGATAACAGATGCTGTAGCAGTAGCTGAGATATATCCTCTGAGGACGAGGCAAAGGATGATTATTATCTATTTCATTTGGAAAATATTGATCACTTGCTTTGTTGAAAATTACTATCCGTATAGAAGTGAAAGAGAATAGGAGAGTAAGATAAACTGTTCAATGAATATATGATACAAAACTAAGGTGTTCCTGACCATTAAGCAGTATCAAAAATCAGAAGCAATGAAAGCATTTAGATAAGAAATAGCTGTGTCTAGATCTGTCAAATTCATTGCCTGCTAATTTTTTACAGGTCTTTTTGCCATTGAAAATCTGTAACTAGTAGAATACATAATTTATTGGTCATTATCTATGCTTTTCTAAGCTTTGGATGCTTATAAATTAGGGGTCATTTTTTGGATACATTATGTCGGCATACCTTGAGTACTGTACCAGAGCATTTGTATTTTAAAAACAAAATGTAATGGTTTTAGGACACTTTTATTTAAAGCTTTACTGTGTCCAGTCCCACACAGAAACCATACCCACACCCAACTCTAAAGAATCGCTGCAATAATTAAAAAAAAAAGTAAATGCCTGTTTTAATTACATAAATCCTTGTTTACAATTTGTTATCATCTGTAGTGCAAAGTGTGATGTGGACACTTCCCATTGGCTGTTCAGCTACAGGGCCTCACAGACCCCTGAAGACTGCACTGACAATAATTAAAAAAATATACAAAACCATTATACAGGTGAAACTCGAAAAATTTGAATATCATGCAAAAGTTCATTTATTTCAGTAATGCAACGTAAAAGGTGGAACTAATATATGAGATAGACTCATTACATGCAAAGCAAGATAGTTCAAGCCGTGATTTGTCATAATTGTGATGATTATGGCTTACAGCTCATGAAAACCCCAAATCCACAATCTCAGAAAATTAGAATATTACATGCAATCAATAAAACAAGGATTGTACATAGAACAATATCGGACCTCTGAAAAGTATAAACATGCATATGTACTCAGTACTTGGTTTGTACCCCTTTTGCAGCAATTACTGCCTCAATGCGGCGTGGCATGGAAGCTATCGGCCTGTGGCACTGCTGAGGTGTTGTGGAAGACCAGGATGCTTCAATAGCGGCCTTCAGCTCTTCTGCATTGTTCGGTCTCATGTCTCTCATCTTTCTCTTGGCAATGCCCCATAGATTTTCTATGGGGTTCAGGTCAGGCGAGTTTGCTGGCCAATCAAGCACAGTAATCCCACGGTCATTGAACCAGGTTTTGCTTTTGGCAGTGTGAGTAGGTGCCAAGTCCTTCTGGAAAGTGAAGTCAGCATCTCCATAAAGCTCGACTGCGGAAGGAAGCATGAAGTGCTCAAAAAATCTCCTGGTAGACGGCTGCGTTGACTTAATGAAGCACAGTGGACCAACACCAGCAGATGACATGACTTCCAAATCAACACAGACTGTGGAAACCTCACACTGGACTTCAAGCATCTTGCAGTGTGTGCCTCTCATTCTTCCTCCATACTCTGGGTCCTTGGTTTCCAAATGAAATGCAAAAGTTGCTCTCATCAGAAAAGAGGACTTTGGAGCACCGAGCAACAAACCAGGTCTATTTTTCTTTAGCCCAGGTAAGACGCTTCTGACGTTGTTTGTTGTTCAGGAGCGGCTTGACAAGAGGAATACGACATTTGAAGCCCGTGTCCAGGATCCGTCTGTGTGTGGTGGCTCTTGATGCACTGACTCCAGCCTCAGTCCACTCCTAGTGAAAGTCCCCCCAACACTTTTGAATGGCCTTTTCCTGAAAATCCTCTCCAGGCTGCAGTCATCTCTGCTGCTTGTGTACCTTTTTTCTTCCACACTTTTCCCTTACACATAACTTTCTATTAATGTGCTTTGATACAGCACTTTGGGAACATCCAACTTCTTTTGCAATTACCTTTTGAGGCTTTTCCTCCTTAAGGAGGGTGTCAATGATGGTTTTCTGCACAACTGTCAGGTCAGCAGTCTTTCCCATGATTGTGATTCCTACTGAACCAGACTGAGAGACCATTTAAAAGCTCAGGAACCCTTTGCAGGTGTTATGGCGTAATTAGCTGATTAGAGTGGGACACTTTGAGCCTAGAATATTGCA